GGCTGTGGGGAGTCTGTGGGGAGGCTGTGGGGAGGCTGTGGGAAGGCTGTGGGGAGTCTGTGGGGAGTCTGTGGGGAGGCTGTGGGGAGGCTGTGGGGAGTCTGTGGGGAGTCTGTGGGGAGGCTGTGGGGAGGCTGTGGGAAGGCTGTGGGGAGGCTGTGGGGAGGCTGTGGGGAGTCTGTGGGGAGGCTGTGGGGAGGCTGTGGGGAGGCTGTGGGGAGGCTGTGGGGAGTCTGTGGGGAGGCTGTGGGGAGGCTGTGGGGAGTCTGTGGGGGTCTGTGGGGAGGCTGTGGGGAGGCTGTGTGGAGGCTGTGGGAAGGCTGTGGGGAGTCTGTGGGGAGTCTGTGGGGAGGCTGTGGGGAGGCTGTGGGGAGTCTGTGGGGAGTCTGTGGGGAGTCTGTGGGGAGTCTGTGGGAGTCTGTGGGGAGGCTGTGGGGAGGCTGTGGGGAGGCTGTGGGAGTCTGTGGGGAGGCTGTGGGGAGGCTGTGGGGAGGCTGTGGGAAGGCTGTGGGGAGTCTGTGGGGATGCTGTGGGGAGGCTGTGGGGAGTCTGTGGGGAGTCTGTGGGGAGTCTGTGGGGAGGCTGTGAGGAGGCTGTGGGGAGGCTGTGGGAAGGCTGTGGGAGTCTGTGGGGAGGCTGTGGGGAGTCTGTGGGGAGTCTGTGGGGAGGCTGTGGGGAGTCTGTGGGGAGTCTGTGGGGAGGCTGTGGGGAGGCTGTGAGGAGGCTGTGGGGAGTCTGTGGGGAGGCTGTGGGGAGGCTGTGGGGAGGCTGTGGGGAGGCTGTGGGGAGGCTGTGGGAGGCTGTGGGGAGGCTGTGGGGAGACTGTGGAGAGGCTGTGGGGAGGCTGTGGGGAGGCTGTGGGGAGGCTGTGGGGAGGCTGTGGGGAGTCTGTGGGGAAACTGTGGGGAGGCTGTGGGAGGCTGTGGGGAGGCTGTGGGGAAGCTGTGGGGAGTCTGTGGGGAAACTGTGGGGAGTCTGTGGAGAAACTGTGGGGAGGCTGTGGGGAGGCTGTGGGAGGCTGTGGGGAAACTGTGGGGAGTCTGTGGGGAGGCTGTGGGGAGTCTGTGGGGAAACTGTGGGGAGTCTGTGGGGAAACTGTGGGAGGCTGTGGGGAAACTGTGGGGAGGCTGTGGGGAGGCTGTGGGGAGGCTGTGGGGAGGCTGTGGGGAGGCTGTGGGGAGGCTGTGGGGAGTCTGTGGGGAGGCTGTGGGGAAACTGTGGGGAGGCTGTGGGGAAACTGTGGGGAGTCTGTGGGGAAACTGTGGGGAGTCTGTGGGGAAACTGTGGGGAGGCTGTGGGGAAACTGTGGGGAGGCTGTGGGGAAACTGTGGGGAGGCTGTGGGGAGGCTGTGGGGAGGCTGTGGGGAGACTGTGGAGAGGCTGTGGGGAGGCTGTGGAGAGGCTGTGGGGAGGCTGTGGGGAGACTGTGGAGAGGCTGTGGGGAGGCTGTGGGGAGACTGTGGAGAGGCTGTGGGGAGGCTGTGGGGAGGCTGTGGGGAGGCTGTGGGGAGACTGTGGAGAGGCTGTGGGGAGGCTGTGGGGAGGCTGGCAGATCCTAAGGTGGTTCAGCTGACTATAATTAACTGAGTCAGTTAATTATACACACCAAAAGAATTGATAAATTAAACGCATTTGCAACACTTGAGTATCTTTACTGAGGAAACGTTTCGCCAAACAGCAGCTTCATCAGTCCCATACAAAGAAGAATGGTTAAGATTAGAAAGAGTTTGAAGTAACCAGTCTCTCAGCCTGGAGTCGATGTGTTCAGTCCATCAAGATTGATGGACTGAACACATCGACTCCAGGCTGAGGAACTGATTACCTCATACTCCTCTCCTTACGCCTTCCTCTTTGTATTGGACTGATGAAGCCACTGTGTGGCGAAACGTTTCCTGAATAAAGATTCCCATATGCTGCATAAGTGTCTCAATCTTCAACTTGTCGGTTTTTCAAACCATTCATCACAAGGATGTATAGAGTTGAAGAACAACCTGATGACTCCTATTATTTATGCTTCTTGATATGAAGCCAAGGATTCTATTAGCTTTATTGCGAACACTTATGCACTGTTGTCTTGGTTTCAGATTACTGCTAACCAGTACTCCTAAATCTTTTTCGCAATCCGTAATATTAAGATCTACATTATTTAGTTTATATGTGGCATGGTTATTGTCATGTCCAACATTTAGAACTTTGCATTTGTCTATATTAAACTGCATCTGCCACTTCTCCGACCACTGCATCAGTCTATTCAAATCTTCCTGGAGTGCTCGAATGTCCTCGTCAGAATGAATTCGACGGCCTATTTTGGTGTCATCGGCAAACTTGCCGATGTCGCTCTTTATGCCCTCATCTATGTCGTTTATGTAGATTGTGAACAGCAGGGGGCCCAACACTAAACCCCTGTGGCACACCGCTCGTGATGCTTCCCCCACTCTGATTTCTCCCCATTTATGCAAACTCTCTGCTGCCTATTTGTCAACCATGCCTCTATCCAGGAAAAAATTTCTCCTCCTATTCCATGTGCTTTAATTTTCCTCAATAGTCTCTGATGTGGGACCCTGTCAAAAGCCTTACTGAAGTCCATATACACAATATCATATTCATTACCATGATCTACCTCCTCAAATACCTTAGTGAAAAAAGTTAATAAATTCGTAAGGCAGGAACGCCCCTTTGTAAAACCATGCTGAGATTCGTTGATTAATTTATGTTTTTCAAGGTGGCTACAAAACTGCCTCGACAATTATTGACTCCATAAATTTTCCCACTATGGAGGTTAGGCTTATTGGTCTATAGTTCGAAGCTAAGGACCTGTCACCTGCTTTGAAAATAGGTATCACATTTGCCATTTTCCACTTATCTGGCACCATGCCAGTTTGTAGTGATATGTTGAAAAGATTAGCCAAAGGTTTGCTAAGCTCCTCTTTACATTCCTTTAGAACCCTTGCATACAGTTCATCAGGGCCTGGGGATTTGTTAGGTTTTAATTTATCTGTTTGCCTTAGGACCATGTCACTTGTGACCCTAATCGTGCACAGTTTATTATCGTCCTGTTCTACATAATTTATCATTACTGGAATATCGCTGGTATCCTCTTGTGTAAAAACTGAGAGGAAGTATGTGTTAAAAATTCTACACATTTCCTTATCACTTGTGTTGCATGTGTTGCATAAGTGTCTCAATTCTTCAACTTGTCGGTTTTCAAAACCATTCATCACACCCAAGTGTTGCACATGTGTCTAATTTATCAACTTGTTTGCTCTCTGAATCATTTACCTACACAAAAAGAATCCTCAGCAACGAATATATTTGAAAGTAAAAGGACACAAGTGCAACTAATGTGACATTTTATTGTGGCAACGTTTCGCTCTCCAGGAGCTTTGTCAAGCCGATTCGGCTTGATTATCTAATATTATCTAATATTTAGGCCGCCACACCTACGGTATCACAAGGACCTTCCTGGTGGAACTAAGTCACTCTGACCATTTGTCTGCATATTAACCTATGTACAATTCCTACATAGGTTAATATGTAGGAATCGTATTCATCCAGAGTTGTGTGAAGTTGTATCTAAATACACTTATTTATTTTTTCTCTCTCTTTTCCTTCTACTTCCCTCTCCCCGTCCCCTATACTCTCCCCGTCCCCTATACTCTCCCCGTCCCCTATACTCTCCCCGTCCCCTATACTCTCCCTCTTTGTAAACAAACTATACACAGGTTGCTCCCTCTATAAACAACGTGACCACAGAGAGAGAGAGAGAGAGAGAGAGAGAGAGAGAGAGAGAGAGGAGAGAGAGAGAGAGAGAGAGAGAGAGAGAGAGAGAGAGAGAGAGAGAGAGAATGAGAATGAGAATGGTTATATTTGATGAGAACTTGCTTAACATAGGCCAGTAGGTCTACCGTAGTGCCGCTCTCTTCACAAGTTCCACCGCTTATAAAATGATTAGCTATGCTCACTACTCACATTATTTCCTGCATTTAACTCATCGGCTCGGTTACTTATCGAGTGTTTCATCTCCGACTCTAGCTGAATATTGATAAAGCCACTGGATGTATTGATAAAGTATTGATAAAGCCACTGGATGGCCAAGCGTCTACAATAAAGATATCCAGGTGTTGCACCTGTGTCTTAACTACCTGTAAGCTACCCACTGCTCCGTATCTCTTGTGAGGGCTCCCCGGTCCCAGACCAGGCCTCTTGATTGCTGGCTTGGTCGATCAGGTCCCAGATCAGGCCTCCTGGTCGATCAGATCCCAGACCAGGCTTCCTGGTTGCTGGCCTGGTCGATCAGGTCCCAGACCAGGCTTCCTGATTGCTGGCCTGGTCGATCAGGTCCCAGATCAGGCCTCCTGGTCGATCAGGTCCCAGACCAGGCTTCCTGGTTGCTGGCCTGGTCGATCAGGTCCCAGACCAGGCCTCCTGGTTGCTGGCCTGGTCGATAAAGTTGTTGATTGTGGTGGGTCATCAACGTCTGGTACTGGCCTAGAAGAATTTCTTTAGTGCTGGGAGGCGCACCTAATGGAGAAACTTGACCAATTTGAGTTGTATGAGACACTATTGCAACACTTGGGTATCTTTAATGTATAGACGTTTCGCCAGCGTGTGGTTTCCTCGGACTAATTCTGAGGAAGCGAAACGCCTCCACAAAAAAAATACCCAAGTGTTACACATGTGTCTAATTCATCATCCTGTCGGTTCTCTGAGCCATTTATCTACATACCTGACCAAAGGCTCTCAGGGGCGTGAGAGACCTCGTGGACTCTTACCATGCACTCAACAGGAGGAAGTAATTGGAATCTTCATGGGATGACTGATCTCTATACGTTAAACAGAAATATTGTTTTGCTTCTTTCACAGCTGACTACTGGAACTCTGCCTCAGACATCGCACGACAAACTATACTGAAATGGAGAATGATTTGTCTGTGAGGGGAAAGACACTGATGTAAGTTCTGGATTCTTTTCCAAGGACACCTTTCACCACCAGCGTCTTTT